TCAATCCTTTTTTTTTTTTTTTAATTTCTCTTCTCCTTTTGGGACCCCTATAATGTGAATATTAGTGTTCTTGATATTGTCCCAGAGGTCTCTTAAACTGTCCTCATTTTAAAAAAATTTTCTCTTAAGTGGCCATGATTTCCACTACTGTCTTCCAGCTTGCTGATCCATTTTTCTGTCTGTTTTGGTCTACTGTTGATTCCTTCTGATATATTTGGGAGAAAATTGCTTTACAGTGTGTTGGTTTCTACCGCATGATGTGACTCTCTCATGATTGTGTATATATCGTCTTCCTTTTGAGCCTCCACTGTGCCACCCCCCCACCCCCAATCCTACCCCTCTAGGTCACCATAGAGTGCCGGGTTGGGCTCCCTGTGTGATAGAGCAACTTCCTACTATTTTACACATGATAATGTATATATGTCAAGGCTACTTTCTCCATTCATGCCACCCTCCCCTTCCCCCACTGTGTCCACATGTCCATTCTCTACTGGGTTCATCAGTATGATTTTTCTGGTAGCTTGGTGCAAAAGTAACTATGGTTTCAGATCCTGAATGTTAAATCATCATAACTAGGCTCAAAGACATCTTTATTAGTCAAAATAGGAACCATGACAATCAACACATTTTTGCAAATGAGAAATGTTTGTTTTTTCCTGTAGCATTAAAGAAAAAATCTGTGCTTCCAGATATGACAAACTCTTGGAAAACATTTTATGCATCCTCCTGGTTGTGGAAGCATTTTCCCTGCAAAAAGTTGTTGAGATACTTGAAGAAGTGGCAGTCAGTTGGTGAGAGGTCAGGTGAATATGAAGGATGAGGCAAAACTTTGTAGCACAATTCATTCAACTTGCAACATGTTCATTATGTGACATGTGGTCAGGCGTTGTTGTGGAGAAGAACTGCTTCCATTCTGTTGACCAGTGCCAACAGCAGGCGTTGCAATTTTTCGTGCATCTCACTGGTTTGCTGAGCATACTTCTCAGATGTAATGGTTTCACTGGGATTCAGGAAGCTGTAGTGGGTCAGACGGGCCTCAGACCACCAAACAGAGACCATGACCCATTTTTTGGTGCAAGTTTGTCTTTGGGAAGTGCTTTGGAGCTTCTTCTTGGTCCAGCCAGTGAGCTGGTTGTCATGTAAAATCCACTTTTCATCACGTCACAATCAGATCAAGAAATGATTCATTGTTGTTGCATAGAATAAAAGAAGGTGACACTTTAAAAAATGACTTTTTTTTGATTTGTGGTCAGCTTATGAGGCATCCACTTATTAAGCTTTTTCACCTTTCCATTTTGCTTCAAATGACAAATGATTGTAGAATGGTCGATGTTGAGTTATTGGGCAACTTCCTGTGTGGTTTAAGAGGATCAGCTTTGATGATCCTCTCAGTTGATCGTTGTCAACTTCTAATGGCCAGCCACCATGCTTGTTATCTTTGACTCTCGTCTCATTTGCAAAACTTCTTGAACCACCACTGCACTATATGTTCATTAGCAGTTCCTGGTCTGGATGCATTGTTGATATTGCAAGTTGTCTCTGCTGCTTTATAGCCCATTTTGAACTCAAATAAGAAAATTTCTCGAATTTCCTGTTTGTCTAACATCATTGCTATAGGTCTAAAATACATATAAAATAAACAAGTAATAATTCATTAGCAAAAAGCATAAAGCAAGAATTGTGCATTGTGCATTAAAATGATGTATAACATAAGCAGATTTATACAAGAATGTATTTAAATATCTAATGGCAAAGTTCAACAATGCAAAACTGAAATTACTTTTGCACCAACCTAGTAGATTCCATATATGTGTGTTAATATGTGATATATGTTTTTCTGACTTACTGCACTCTGTATAAGAGGCTCTAGGTTCATGCACCTCACTAAATCCAACTCAAATTCATTCCTTTTTATGGCTGAGTAATATTCCACTGTGTGTGTGTGTGTGTGTGTGTGTGTGTGTGTGTGTGTGTGTGTGTATCACATCTTCTTTATCCATTCATTTGTAAATGTACATCTAGGTTGCTTCCATGTCCTGTCTATTGTAAATATTGCTGCAATGAACATTGGGGTACGTGTGTCTTTTAGAATTGTGGTTTTCCTTCTAGTATATTTTTCATTTCAACTATTGTATTCTTCATCTCTGTCTTTTTAAATATATATTTTCTCTTTGCTAAATATTTTTAACTTCTTACCCTGTGCATCCATTATTCTCCTGCATTCTTTGATCATCTTTACAATCATTACCCTGAACTCTTTTTTGGGTGGATTGCCTGTTTCCACTTCACTAAGTTCTTCTGGGGTTTATCATGTTCCTTCATCTGGAACATGTTTCTCTGCCACCTCATTTTGCCCAAGTTGCTATTTATATTTTCATGTGTCTGCTAGGTTAATACGTATCTTGACCTTGGAGAAACTGTTCTGTACAAGATGCCCTGTGTTGTCACCAGCCTGTATGCTCTCGAGGTTTCCCGTGAGGGCTGTGTGGGCCCTTCTGTTGTGCAGGCTGACCGTGTGGGCAGTCTGGTAGGCTTGCCTGGCCTCTACTCTAGCTGGTTACCAGCCCATGCTTTATGAAGAGGCTGTTGGAGCTACTGGTTGTTGGGGCCCAGTAGGCAGGCAGCTGACTGCGGTACCCCAGGAGGCCTGGGGCTAGAGCCTGCTCACTGGTGGGTGGGTGCAGTTAGGGTGCAGAAACTCTGGGGCTGTTGTCGGTCTACTACTGGTGGGTGAAACCAGATTTTGGTTTTAAAGCTGGACCACTTATGGTCAGAGTCAGGTCCTGGAGTCTGATTGCAATGCCCAGGGATCACAGGGCTGGTGTCTGATAACTGGTGTGTTGGGGGGTGGTGCGGGAGGTGTTTCCTGACACAGTTAGCTATGGGGTCAAGGGCATTCTGAGGCTGTGCTGGCCTGCTAGTAGGGAGGGCCAGGGACAGCTGGTCCCAGGGTAGGGTCTGGCCTGCTGTGGGCAGGCCGGCTCTGCAACTGTGGCTCTCTTGCATCTAGTGTCTGCCGCCTGGTAGGTGAGGCGTGTCCAGAGCCTGGAGCAGACTCCTGGACAGTTTGGCTGGTGCCTGCCCACTGGCGGGTGAAGGGCAAGGCTGGTCTAGAGGTGACTGTGGTCTCAGGAAGGTTTGGACGCCTGTCTGCTGAGAGGTGGGGCTGTGTCCTTGTCCGGTTAGTTAGTTTCCCTAAGGTGTCCCAGCACTGGTGCCTGCAGGCTGTTGGACGGGCCAGGCTCCTCAGTGGGGCCTGCCAGTGTTCACCCAATAGAAGGAGCTCCAAGAATGGCCTCTGCCAGTGTCTTTGTCCCCAAGGTGAGCCCACAGCCCACCTTCCCCCACCTCTCCAAGAGACTCCCTAAGACCAGTAGGTAGGCCTGGTCCTGGCTCCTGTCAAGTGACTACCTTCGCCCTGGGTTCTAGAAGGCGGCAGATTTTGTGTGCTCCTTTCAAGAGCCTTGTCTCTTTCCCTCAGCCTTTAGGGACTCCCGAGGCTAAGCCCCACTGGCCCCCAGAGCCAGGTTCCCTGGGCGTTTGTCTTCTTGCTGCCTGAGCCTCGGGCTGTGGGGCCTGATCTGGAGCTCGGCACTCTCACTCCTGGGGAGAACCTCTGCAGTACAGTCCCTCTCCAGGCTGTGCGTCGTCTCTGTGGTGAGGGACCTGGTTATGTTGCGGCCTCCTACCTGTCTCGTTCTAGTTCCTTCCTTGTATCTTTAGTTAGACTTTTTTCTGGTAGGTCCTGGTCTTTTTCATGGGAGGTTGTGATTTTGGTGTGCTTCTGAGAGGAGGTAAGCCCATGGTCTTTCTGCTTTGCCATCTTGCCTAGTCTCTCCTCCCCTTCTGTCCATTTTTTCAAAGAAACATCTCTTGGTTTCATTGATCTTTGTAAAGTTCTGGGGTTTTTTTACTCACAGTATTTGGTGTGAAATAGCAAATTTTGAGACATGGAAAAAATAAAGTGTGACCCATGGTTAGGAGAAGAGCTTAGAGGAGCCAAATCAGTGATGGGCCAGATGTTGAACAGTTGGAATGGAAGAGCAGTTAGAAAATTTTAACAGGAAACTGGAAGACTATAAAAAGATCTAACTGGGAATGCCAGAGTGATGGTACCATGTTAGAAGGTAAGTATTCGTTTGATGGGCGTGACAGCAGACTGGTCGTAGTTGGCAAACCCCAAGTAGAATAAATACAAAGCTGAGAAACGTGGCTAACTCAGCACTGTTAAATCTTCCAGTTTACGAACATATAATGTGTTTCAGTTTAAGTCTAATTACTCACGACAGTGCTTAGTATAAGTTGTCAATATATAATATCATGTACTTCTTTACTTAAATGTATTCCTAAGTAGGTTTTTTCTTATGCTGTTACAAATGAGATTATTTTCTTAATTTCATTTTCAGGTTGTTCATTGCTAACGTATGGAAATACAAATTATTTTTTTTAAATCCATGGGATATTTGTAGGTTAAATCTTTCAATCTTGCTGAATTCTGTAATTAATAGCTTTTTATGTCTATTTTCTAGAATTTTCAGTGAACAAGGTCATGTCATCTGTAAATAGAAGTTATTTCTTCCTTTTCAGTCAGCATGCCTTTTATTTATTTTCTTTGCTGAATAGCCTTGCCTGGAACCTCTAATACAATGTAGTATAGAAATGACTGTGTGTTATCTCTTCTCTAAATGTTTGCCATTATTATTAAATGGTATAGAATATAAGCTGTTTTTATGTCTGTCAATATTGAAGAATACTGACTTCATGAAATTAGTGTCATTGTAATTATGGGATGGCGATTGGGGCCATTAAAAATTTTTTTCAATTGGTGGACGATTGATTTACAATTTTGTGTTGGTTTCTGCTCTACAGCTGTGTGAATCAGTCATAATTATATCCCTTCCTTCCTGAGCTTCCTTGGGGCCATTTTGATCTACAAAATATGTAACTTTTTTTTGGTTGATTGAAGAACATTTTAATAATTTCACTTTTTTTTCTTTTAGGTTTTCTCAAATAATGATGAAGGCCTTATTAACAAAAAGTTACCCAAAGAACTTCTTTTGAGGTAAGTGTAAGTAAACTTTAAAGATTTCGTATATGGTTCGGTCATCAAGTTCCAAGACAGTCTCCTTTCTCACTGTGAGTCCATAGCATAGAAAAACAGACAGAATTAGCCTAACTGACTTTCTGTTTTTGTTTTATAGAATGCTGTTCAGCTTGTTGTTAAGTTTTACTTGGTCTAATCCAGAATGTACTAAGTATGTACGTAGCATTGGTCTGGATTCTTTTTGTAATGTGGTAAGTATTGTAATAATCTTCAGTAGGTGACAGTGGGTATTAGTAGATTATCTCAATGTAGTCAGTAACTCAAGGAGAGGTTATTAAAGCTACGAGCTCCTGAAGTTATAGACGTTTAGATGTTTTCTGATAAATTGGTTTTAAAATAATTATACTGTGTGTTCTTACTGAGCACTTAAAATGGTGTCAGCCCAAATACTGATGTTATCCATTTTATGAGAGTTATGTGCTAAGTGACAGTGCTATAGAACAGGCTTTCTGTTCTTTATTTTTAGCATTGCTGAATATACAGGTCATGGTATTTTGCTTGGCATTTTGCCAAGTAAAGCTACGACTGACACTTGTTGATCCTCGGGCGCTGCAGTTTCCTTTCGTACTCAGCGAGCATCAAGGAAACCTTATTTTAGTTTTGGATGTTCTATTTTAATTGTTAACAAACACTTAATACATGAATACGTGATCTTATGAGTGGCATTTCCCAAACGTTTCATATCAGTAATGTTTCACAAAACAAAACAAAAACAGGTTTTGTGATCAATAAGTATGGGAAACACAAGGTAAACAAAACCAGTTTCTTTACTGCATGCCCTCCGGAACCTTAATAGGCTAATACGCGTGGCGATGCTCCCAAGTGAATGACTGTGGCATTTCGAACTTACTGACCTTGGACCTTTTTTAATAATCCTTGGAAATTTTGGGGGGAGATGCTGACATACAGTAAGAAATTGACCAGCTGACTCCATTCCCTGCCTGCGTTTAATCTCATTTTAACGTGTGGGGGATGAGTATGTGTGTTCTGTTTACATATTGGAGTTGCTCTGTAAATGCAGCCGCCTCAGTGTTTTCAGCTCCTGTTCTTGAGTCAGGAATGGGGTGAAGACTTGGTGTCTTGTGGTGATGATCACATTTTAGGGGCTTCAGGATGGCATTTCATTAGTTATCAGGTGTTGCCAAGAGCTCATTCTGCTCAGTTAATTAAAAACAATTAAGTGTTGGCAGAATCATATGAAAGATACAGCAATTATGTTTTATTTCAACAAAATAAATACGTGCTTGGCCAAAAGAGAATATTCTTTGGCTATCATGACCATTTTAAAGTTCTGAAAGTGGTAACAAGGAAGGAATGATATGTTTATGATACAAACCCACACGGTCCTGATGAAGCACAGTGAGCTGTTAGAACCAGAGTGGTTCGGATGGGCCGGCTGTGACCGGGGAGCCTAGGGGGTGCCATCCACACAGACCACAGAGCGAGTGGCGGTTCCAGAGTTGTGCAGTGTTTCACTCTTGGTCTGACACTTTGCTAGCACAGGCATCAAACCTTAATGTGAATATGTCACTTACACCCCGGGGGACCCATAAGCAGCTTCTGGCCGGCCCACATGAGTCATTCAACACTGGGGTGTGATTAAACTCCACCCTTCTCCTGAGTACTGCTGCTGTTTGTGACTCAAGGCTGCTAACTGAATGTTTTTTCCCTTCTGGTAGAATTAGCTCTTACACTGTACTCAGCCATCGTACTGTTTCTACCTATTGACTGAAAGGGAGGAGGAGTTGGGGTGGGGAGCGCTGTGGAATTATATAACTTTCTGTGCTAGTGTGATTTCAAACTGCTGTTTTAGAAATTTGATTTTTTTAAGGATCCCTGATGGACCCAGCTTTCAAAAATCCCGGAGCTGCAGTTTTTGAATCATGCTAAGGCTCACACATAGATCATCTTTAAAAAAAGAATTGTCATTTGAGAGCAGATGTTCATAACATGTTTATTCCTAGATTTGCATTCCCACTTCTTCCCTTATTTTGGAGTCTGTAAGGGGAAGGGAAAATTTAAAGGACTGCCACGGTAGGTCTTCTCTGACTCTTGGGTCTCAGATTTTCTATTCTCAGTAGTAATAGCTTTCCCTTTGCCAGCTACCCTTTTTAAGCAAAAGTTTGAAGAAGAGTTTGAGCCAGGTTGCCAAGGCAGACATCTTTATCACATGTTAACACCACCACAAAGCGAGTGGGTGCCCCAGAGCCCCCACGTCACGCAGCTTAAATGTTGATGCTGTTGCTAAATTCAGTGCTGTCTTCATATTTCCGGCCTGTCTTCGGCTTACATTTTTACTTCATGTTGTGAACTTCTTTGTGACAGAGCAGACTGTTGTTCTTGTTCTTACTGAATTCCTGTTTACTTTCCGTCTTCATCAATAGGTGTGAATTTTTTTACTTTATGATAATCCTATTTATTTGCCGCCAAGGTCATTTTCTCCTCTGCCATTTTTTTTTACCGCATCCGTTACTACCCTCTTAAATTCTCTACTCGCTTCCATTACTGATCATACCCAGTGAAGTTTGAGCTTCCTCTCTGGAACCATTAACAAGCATAACCTAGAATTATGTACTCTTCATCACTTTATTATCACTTTGAATCCAGTCAGAAAAATCTGAGTTTTTTTAATCTGATCATCTTATTTCTAATTTTAAGACCCCTCAATATTAGTAATTCACAGACTCCTCCTGCTACCCGTTTTCAGTTTGTTAGTTAACAAGCGTTGACAGTTGTGCTCTTTCTGTCCTGCTTTCACTTATAAATTAAGGATGTTAAAGTTCTCCCTCTACCTTTCATGCACACACAGTTCAACAGACGGCTTGTAATTTTGCTATTCCTGGAGTCAGTTATGTAATGCTTGTAATAATGGAAATGTATAGTTTGTTATAATCTCTGTATCTGTTAGTGAGTTGAGTTGTCCTTGTTATACTTATCTTCGTTGTTATTGGATATATTACTTTTGGAGCTTGACTTGCTTGAGGTTTCTACTCTCCCCATTTACTGGTTGTGTGACGTTAAAGTGACTTCACTCTCCAGGCCTAATTTCCCGTATCTGTAATAGTACTAGTAATGGTTCTTCCTTTAAGGGGCTGTTGGTAGCTCTGAGCACCTGGCATTTAATAAATGTTAAGTAAATGTTTTATTATTATATAATATCAATTTTGGATGTCTGAATACTTAATAAATACTCTTGACAGTACAGTTAGTTTTAATACAAACAATTGATAAAAGCAGGCTATCCTGATATGCATCTTAACATATGCTACTGCTAACCATCTCAGTAAAGGACCTGATTATTAAGCAAGTTAATATGGCCTCCTGCTTCATTTCATCAACTTGCACTAATTTAATCTCAACAGAAATTGCATACTACCACCTGACATTAAACTGACAACTTTTGGCGCTTGAGCAGAGTAGTGGTGGTAATTATGACAACTGATAATTATTTTGTATTATCAAGAAGGCAGTCTCTTGGAAAGAACCATTCCTCTTTTGAGAAAAGCAGTCTGGCGTGAGCAAATATTGGCCCACAATTCAGGTTTCAAACTGTAAGATTAGTTTGTTTGTCCTTAAGTTTTTACTTCTCTTATGGGCAAACAGTAAAGAGTCTGCCTGCAGTGTGGGAGACCTGGTTTGATCCCTGGGCTGGGAAGATCCCCTGGAGAAGGGCATGGCAACCCACTCCAGTATTCTTGCCTAGAGAATTCCATGGACAGAGGAGCCTGGTGATTTACAGTCCATGGGGTTGCAAAGAGCAGGACACAACTGAGTGACTAACACACACACACACACACGTGGTTGTTTTCAGATTTTAGTGATGAAATGAAAATGCATGTAAACAGCTTCATAGGAATAGGGAGTGCTACATGCAGTAAATATTTTAAGACATTTTGAGAAAACATGACTCTTGTTCAGTTCATTCAGTTGCTCAGTCGTGTCCGACTTTTTGCAACCACGTGAACCGCAGCACGCCAGGCCTCCCTGTCCATCACCAACTCCCAGAGTCCACCCAAACCCATGTCCATTGTGTTGGTGATGCCATCCAACCATCTCATCCTCTGTTGCCCCCTTCTCTTCCTGCCCTCAATCTTTCCCAGCATCGGGATCTTTTCAAATGAGTCAGCTCTCCGCATGAGGTGGCCAAAGTATTGGAGTTTCAGCTTCAACATCAGTCCTTCCAATGAACACCCAGGACTGATCTCCTTTAGGATAAACTGGTTGGATCTCCTTGCAGTCCAAGGGACTCTCAAGAGTCTTCAACACCACAGTTCAAAAGCATCAGTTCTTTGGTGCTCAGCTTTCTTTATGGCTCTTGTTAGTAATGAATAATAATGAAAGAAAGCTTGTTAGACATATTTTTAAAAACCATATCACCATTATCTATGTTATTTTCTTTTCTTTTAAAATGTATGTGGATCCATGACAGAATTAAGTCCTGAATGTGTTTGTGGGCTTGATGAAGAAGGATTGATTGCCCCGAACAGGAGAGCTGAGCCTAATAATTTTGGCAAATGGAATCAACTACATAATTACATATAATTTGGCAGTTTTACTAGTTTGCTAGGGAAAATGATAAAATAACTAGCACTTAAATTTTCAAATTTCCCTTTTCTAAAATGAATAAGCCAATTCCATGAGTGAAAATAATTGTGGTTTTTGTTATAATTATTAAGTTACAGCCCAATACCTATCTGTAATCGAGGGACCCTGGGGAGCAGTGCAGTAACGGGCTCATTCCTGTATGGGGCATCATTGAAGGGGCGTTCTTGCCTGCTGGCTGGTTGTAGTACTCCATGGACTTTTTCAAGGACTGCTACCTTCTGCTGTCTGTGATGCCTTTGTATATATTCCAAGGCAACCAAACGGGTAAGATGCTCTTTTAGGGGCACATACTGCAAACTGGGCTTCCCTGGTGTCACAGATGGTAAAGACTCTGCCTGCAATGCAGGAGACCT